GGGGGGTCTGTGCCGCCAGGGGGAGGGCGGGGCTGCCCGGGGCCGCTTCCGGAGCCGGGGCTTCCCGGGAGCTGCACGTACGTGTCCGTACGCGGAGCTCGTGGGCTTCGCCAGGCCCTGGAATTACCAAGAGCGTGGCCTGCAGCTTCCTGAACATTGACAAGCTCTCATAAACTCACGCTGGACACAGCCAAGTCCATTTAATAACAAAACCAAAATTTATAAAGTAACCCTCCCCAAATGCAATCCAAACTACCATAAGTATGCCTGTGGTTAAAAAAATAAGCAGTAACATGCAGAATGGTAAAATGTGGCTTTTGACATTCGAATGCTGTGTTCTCCCTTCACGGTGGGGCTGTGATCGCAGAAAAACAAATATGCGCATCCTGCTCCTCGTCTTTGACCCCCCTGTGGCACACACAGTCATTGCATGCAGGGAGGGACACGGGACGCGCCGAGCAGGCTGTAGTTCAAACACATCTGCGTTTTTGCAGTGGCCAAATTAGCAAGTATGCCTGTGGTTAAAAAAATAAGCAGAATGGTAAAATGTGGCTTTTGACATTCAAATGCTGTGTTCTGCGATCACAGCCCCACCATGAAGGGAGAAATACGAATAGGTGCATCGTGCTCCTCGTCTTTGACCACCCTTTGGCACACACAGTCATTGCATGCAGGGAGGGACACGGGGGACGCGCCGAGCAGGCTGTAGTTCAAACACATCTGCGTTTTTGCAGTGGCCAAATTAGCAAAATTGACTTAAAACTTGTAGCACTTTACAGTGTCAGAACTGAGTCTCATCAAAGCCAAGGTAGCATTTTGCAAATATGTATACAAAAGATTGAGGGTCAGAGACCTCTTTTTTTTTTCCCCTTAAGCTTCCTGGATTTGCTGTAAAACCTGAAACTAACACTACCTTGATTCACACTTTAAAGATGGTGAATACCTCCATGAAAGACAGGCCCTTGATTACCTAACAGTGGAAAGGGATAGAAAAAAACAGAAGGGGCCAGAAAACTCACCAATTTTAGCACTGCCTCTTGGGAATCCCTCGTATTTACATGCAGTTTTTGTCCTCGGCACACAGCTGCTCCCCAGGCAGCAGCTTCACGGCTGCTGCCTCTTTGGACGGGCAGCCTGATTTGCTAGCAGAGTCCTGGATGACAGCCCAGCAGGCTCGAGCTCTCAGGCTCTGCTCATTACTTCCCCTTCTACTGCGATCCCTTATAGAGCTATTATTTTCCCTTTCATCTAGTTCATTACTTAAAAAAAAAAATCTTTGGAATTTAAAATTCCATAGTGCAGAGGTTTTTGCAGGATATTTTGTGGTGTGGAGACTCGCCAAAATGACAATTGCCGTTTGAAGATCCCTTCCCCTCTGCACTTTGGAAGAGAATCTTCAAATGCTTCGGGACCAGCTAATGTGAACAGCTCTTTGCTTTCCCTTTCCTTGCGTTCTTTTTGAGATAGCTCGTATCACCAGTTATTCCTTTTGCTTCTCCTAAACTGTTTTTGTTGGCATGAGACATCAGCTAGCATCCTCACATAATTTTCTCAACAACTGAAAGCACGTTGAGCCAGTCTTTCAATTTTGTTGAGCCTAAGCAGAAAACAGAGCGGACATGTGGAACAAAATGGTTGAATTCTGAGAGCAGCTGAACAAATCAAGACAGAATTGGTATGCATAGTGCATGGTCTTCACGACATACACTTAATACAGTTAACCCATTTGCCAGCTGTGGCACACAGTACATAGCAAGGTAAAAATCTCACACTAGAGGCTGAAAGAAACTACCTGGAGTTGCCCTGTTATTCCTCTTTCTCTACTTCCTGCCTCTTTCCAACCGATATCCTCACTTTCTTACTAGTTTGGAGTTTGTCAAATGAAGAACTTACTGCACCCTTCCCCAGTCTATTGATGGCACATCAGAATGTCAGAATCCTGTATTAGGCTTTATTCTTTTATATAAACATTAACATTTCTCAAACAGATTAGTTAAAAATACAGATTTAAACAAGAAATTTTGCAATTGCAATGAGTTATAAAAAACAACAGATTATTTTACAGATTGTTACAAGTGCTTTACAAAGGTGCAGAGTGAAGGCCAGTGGCAGGGGACCAACCTCAAGTGCAAAATGGACACAATACCCTCACCACGGGCATAGCGCTCAGATACACAGAAAAAAAAAAAAAAAAAAAAAAAAAAAGAGCCATGTGAACCTAGGCTCTTGGGATGCTCACCGGGCAAGCAAACATAATAGACCCCTAAGAGAGAAGACTCATGAGACCAAACTACCAGGATACTAAAGGTAACATCTCTGAGATCAGCCACAAGATGTCATCTCTTGGAAAATAAGGAACCTATTTTTTTTTTGCAACAGTATATTTCTCTTCTGTCAGACAAAATGTTGCTGTATATCTTACAATACTTACGGATGTGAATACTTAAGGACTTAGGGCATAAAACCAGTGTGGATTCTCACTGTGCCCAAAGTGAAGAAAGGATACAGGACCCAAGTGTCCTAGAGCAGTCACACTCCTCTCACCACGAGGACCTCCATAACCAAATCACTTAGTACCTTGGAAAGACTTTGGCATAAGGAAGAAAACGCAAGCAAATCTAGTTACATTCAACATTCCCGCAGCCCATGATCCGAGTGTTGTGTAGCCCATAGCTTAGGCAATGCCTGTACTTCACTAAATGCAGCACATCCTCTCCCATTTGCTGATACATCTTCACACTCTCCTTGGAACACATGCCACATGCTCCAAATTCTTGGAAGTTTCTGAGACACTTCCACCACACATGCCTTGCCCAGGTACCAGACCTTCCCAACTTCCTTTCTTCTCTTCCACCCCCAAATATAAAATCTATATCCTGATTTTTTTTTCTGAAGTGCAGTTTTCCAGTTGTTAGCAAATCAAAGGTGAAGTGAACTGGCTGATAATCAGCGTAAGATTAACATGGTGATGTGTTATATAAAAATCCACTACTTAATGCCTGACATCCTTCTGATGTATGATGGCCTGTGTGTTAGGCAAAGGTCACTACACGTTCCAGGAATCCTCTTTCCAAAGGAGGGCCAGAATGGAAGGGCAACTCTAGAGATGAAGTCTCACAATAAAGAAATAACAGTTACTTCTCTGGGAATCTTTGCAGAGGGCAGCACACAAAAGAGATTTTACTTATAGGAAACCCAGTGAAACCCCTAGAACATCCACATTGACTTCCCTGAGCTCCTCAGATCCAGGTACACTGGGGACCCTGCAGAAGCCTTCTGAGCTGGGTTACTCTCAATAGAGAGATTTTGGCAAGTTCCTGCAAATTCACTTTCATAATCAATAGGAAAGGAAAGGATCAGTGGGCAAATCCCCAAGTCATGCTTAGAAAAGAGAAAGAGACTCTGATGAGAGAGGTGTACATGTATATGGGGAAGGTCTTCATTTCTACCGTTTTCAGATGTTCCATGTTATCCATGCGGGGTGTGGGCACTACATCAAAACCAACCCCCCATGTGATCTACCCCAGCTGCCTCCTACGAAGTGTCACGACATCACTGAAACCCCAGGCCCATCCATCCCTGCGTGGCCTAGCCCGGAGCTCAGCGCCTTGGAGAGGGGAGGCTGGCTTCTCGTTAGCGAAGGCTGGGAGACGGCGCCACGCCGGCGCGTCAGCGCCCCGGGAGCGTGCGGTCACTCATGCACATCCCAGATTTCCGAGAGCAGGGGAGGGAGTTTCTTGTCCTGCAGCCGAAGGGCAAACACCTGTTCAGAGTGGACGCTACTTAGTGTCCGCAGGCTGACCAGCTTCATTAACATCCGTGGAAACATCAGGTGGTCCTGCCAGGTCACATAAAAAGACAGCTCTTAGTAAATCCACACTAAAACTTCGCCAAAGCAAACAAACCAGCCCACATAAACACCGGATGACACATTATAAACACAGTGCTAACTTTCTCTAAAACCAGCAGCCTTCAGGAGATAGACGTGTGAAGGGAGGAAAGGAACTCTACACCATGCCCAAAATGATTCAAGATTGTCCAAGCTGGCTAAACTGTGGAACATGATCCAGGACAGCAGGCAGTGATATCTCACAGATCCTCTATTTACAGCTGCTACCACAGAGTCACAAGGATACAGGAGGAGGGTACAGAAGGCAAGAGAACTGTACAAACAGTACTGCAGGAACTGTGGCTGCATAAGAAGAGAAATCACTTTGCATCACTCCCCGGGACGTTCGAGTCGGGCACTTACATTTGGTCTGTTGATGCAAATATAAGAATGAAGGGCTTCCACATAGGTGTGCTGCAGCCTCTCCACCAGTGACTGGTCCTGCACATTCGGTCGGTCTGTCCAAAAGCAAGAGAAGTGAAGCAAAAAGCAAGAGAAGAGAAGCCAGGTTGTCACAGGCAGCCTCGTTTGAGGCTAACCCCAGCCCTCCATATGCTCCTTCCCCAAAATCTCATCAAGTCTTTACTCAGTGCTGCAGTTTTACATCAGTTTTCTGTAACAGCTATTTCTCACTCATGTTCACTGAATATGGCAAGTCTGATCTGAATCATACGGAGGTAACAGATTAAAAGAGACCGAACAACACTGTCTAAATGCATTTGGTCTCATGTTGCTGTCCCAGTGAGGATTAAAAGCTGCAGGACACTTTCTCCAGCAGCTAAGATAGTGAGTGGGAAAACAGCAACAACACCCTCCCCGCTCCCCAAAAAAAGGGATCTTTCAGGCTACAAGACACAGAGAACAGAAGCCAAAGAGGAGAGGCAGCTTCTCTGCAAAGCCCTTTCCTGGCCCTGAGCTACACTGCCATGGTCTCGCATCCAAAATATTTTTAGTTGGCCACTAGATGTCACTCATGTCGCACAACCTGCATCACACCAATGACATGGCAAGCACAGTAAAGGGACAGTAAAAGAGCAATTCCTAAATGAGGAAAATAAGTATTGGCAGATTTCCACACACAGACATCTCCCTCCCCTCTTCCCATGAGCATAGAAATTGCCTTCCTGGGAGATGGCACTAGAAGATTCAGACCATAATGAGCAGAAGTAGTAACATGCTCCCTATATCCCCAAATCCTCTACTCCATTACTCATCTTCAGGGTGTGGCTTTTTTTTTTTAATTCTATTTTCTTTACCCCACAACTCTTCAGTTCTCCCCAGATTCTTACCTGCAGAGAAAATGTTGATGGCAATTAAAAGTGCATATTCAGCATCGTTAAGCTGTAGCTCATTCATTCCTTTTGAGAACTCAAAGATGGGGTTAATAAACTCAAATTGCAGACCTGCAGCAGAGGAGAGAGTGAAGGTCAGCCATGACATTTGTTTCTTGCCTCTCTCACTTGCAGAATAAGCTCCCCAACAGATGAGGGCTTTGTACCCATACCCAGCTGCACTCAAGTGCAGCTGAAACCCCCTTTCACAACACACTGCTACTGGAGAGCAACAGTGACAGTGGTTGAGGAGTCTGGCCCTGAACACAAAACTATAGTAGTTTTAGATCTTCTGAGAGCCTTAAATGTCCCACAGCTTGTTAACAGGCAACAGCTAAAAGAATACAATATCAATTCCATGATGCCTGCCGAAAAGTCAGAGGCCCACAAGTAGGAAACCTGTATTTTCTACTTTCACACCGTCATCTCTTTCAAATCTTGTCAGCTCTTGTGCTTTCAAATAAAAGTTTTCATCCCATGCTCCATACTCATCTGAAGCCTGTCTGAGCTGGAAAATACAGTTCCAAGAAGTCTGAAATACCCGCTTGTTTTAGCTCTAAAATCTGGGGGCACTGAGGCAGCGTGACTTAAACCTTCACTCACCTTTTTGGTAAGTGCAGTTTGGCAAAAACATATTGACATTTATTCTGTGATGGCATGAGAGGTTATGACCTTCTCTGGTTTATTTGTACTACAGTCTACAGAAATTTATGCTGAGTATTTTGAACCCTTCCTCCAAAACAGAGCCTTGAGTTTCTTGTTTCCTGCAGTACAACTGCATCAGAGATGAAAGAAGAAGACAGAGAGAATTTCTTTGATTGCCTGCTTTTTGCCTCCCTGAAAAATCTGAGTCCCCTATAGTTTTGATCCCACATCATGAGAATCTGACCATTACAGCTTGAAAGGGCAGCGAGAGCCATGCTAGGGCACTGTGTTCGTAGAAGGCTGTCAGTGGATCAAAGAGCTGGAGCATCCTCAGCTTGTCTGGGACTGGGAAAAAGAACGACCATGGTCGAGCCATGAAGCTGGTGAACTACCGAAGCTTTTGCTGTTAGAGTGTGCTGGGTTTGGTTCCTTCCTCCCTCACATAGCTATATGGTCCCTAAGCAACATGATTCCTACCCCTCTTCCCCCCCGCCCTTTTTTTTTTTTTTTTTTTTTCACCCTTCAGACTATTTCTACAGCTCTTACTTATTCCCAGGGTTTGCAAAAGGGCTTGGAGTTGGGCGAGAGAAGCATCAGCTGCTTAGGGAAAAAACAAAAAGGAGTGGAGAAGAAAAGGAAGAATGGCCAGTAGCTTGAAAGTAGCAACCCAATTGATCCAAATCAACTCCCAGTGGGCAAGTGGGACTGTCCCAAACAGAAACCCTGCTAATAAAAACTTGGGGGTGAAACCTAGTCATCATGTACAGCGAGACTGGAAGAAACAACTCACATAAGCTGCCACTCTCCTCCTATTTCATATGGACACTCAGTCAACCATATGAACACTAAAGCTCAGCAAGCCCTGACAAATATATTGCTGGCCAGATTAAGATGCTGAGAAGGGCCAGTGTCAGGAATTCCTGGGAATACTTAATGGGAAATCTTAAGTAAAAACCATCCCACTTAAAAGCTACTCAGGGAAATGAAAAAATCATTTGAAAGACGGCCAAAGTCTCATTTTCAGGAATGCTGAAGACACACTTCCTGTTATTTCATCTGAAATTACGGATACTCATTTCTCCTGGGAAAGAAATAAGGCTTCAGAAATCACCATATCATCATTGATTATCATACACTGCGCTGAAAACAGCTCCACAGCATTCTGTAGGGATCTTCAATACAGTCCTCAGATCAACTGAAACACAATCATGCAAGAGCCATCGCTCAGAGAACACACGTACCTTACCGTGCGCTACAGTGTCAAGGGGGGGATCCAATATGCACACTCAAGCACACACTGAAGACTCCTGTCTTCTCTACAGCAAGATTCCCATGCTGTACAAATCCGCACTGTCTTAAGCAAGTTCACACCTAGAACGGTGTGTGAACTGGCCCAATATCACACGTTAAAAGCAAACAAGGCCTGTGGGGTACATTGGTTTGCACTTGTTCTAAACCTCTCACCTAAGTTCCACTCTAAGGCCTGACACTATCTCCAGCAACCCAGAGAGGAAAGGATGAAACACCACGAGATACAGGGAAGGAGGAAACACCTGTCTAAAGCACCACCTGCTTTGGCGAAGTCATCCCGATTATAGCTCAGGTCCTTAAGAAACGTGATGCTCTCAATCTCTGGATTATACCGTCGAGACGTCTCCAACAACATCACCTGAAACCAGAGGGCAGGGATATACTTCATTTGAATACTTGCAAAACAACATCGCAATATTGCTATTTTGTTGAGGGCTAGAGCACCCACCAGAGAAAAAAAAAAAAAAAAGCCAGCCAGAAAACCCAAACATGTTCCTTTTGCTCAGAACGCTTCAAAATTCCAAGGCTAGTTCTGCTGCACCATTTGCAGTGTCTGCTCCTGGGAAGTTCCCGCTCCCCATACTCTTCAGTGAGGCTTTACCAGAATCATCTAGCACTGGAGTCAAGGTCCCGTAGCTGAGGTTCTTTCAGTGAGAAAGATGGATGGAGTTAGTTCTCCAGATTCATTCTCCAAATGTTTTCCTCTTTGCTACTCTGGACTGTGATGGAGCCAAACTCTCACCTCTATGGTAGATGTCTTCAACAAAGCAATCTGATCTTCCCTGGTGAGCTCCAGAAAGCCAGGCAGCTGCTTGGCAAAGTCCACAATCTCTTGCACAGAGATAATTGCAAGTTCTGTAAAGTGAGCAAAACGCTGCTGCCTCGCTTCACGGTTATTAGGGTCAGGAACCTGGGGCCATGGCTGCAGAGAGGGAAAGAGACACAGAGCAGAGACAGTGTAAAAATGTAAAAGACAGAGATACAAAAAATGAAGTGAACAGAGAAAGAAAATGACTGAGGCACACTTGAAACTCATCTTTTGCTGTTCTTTAAAGACCTTCACGCTACAGACCCAGTTCTTCAAGCGCCTCCCTTCTCTCACATGCTTTGCTCACAACCCCAAGCTCCCAAAATTTGCTTTTCTTATTTTGGGTCCCCTGGCAGAGGTTTTACCGTGACTTTGAGCCTGTCTGTGAACGAGCGCTGGTTGCACTGCTGCTGGGCGGCCACAAGCTTCTCTATCATGCTCTGCTGTTCAGGCGTCAGGTTGTGGGAAGGGCTTGGCGGGTGCGCAGGGTTTGGACGCACCACAACTGTCCGGGCCTGATCATCTTCCTGCTTCTTCAGTTTCTTCAACCGAATCTGCTCTTCGGACAGAACATCTGAAAGGAAGAACAGCCAGAGAGAAGCAGGGTATCAGAATGCAGCAGAAACCAAACCGAACACAGGGCAGCACGGTGTGAACAAGGGCAGGGTTTACTGCTGTTTGCACATCTGGCACGTCAGAGCGCACGCAGTATAGAAGCTCCCTTCATTACTTATTATACTGTCCCACCATGTTGTCTTTTTCTGATACTGCTCTATTAACAGCCTGGGTCATTTCATGTTCCCCCAAAGAGGTCAGAATCGGTACTGCAGGGAGCTGGTGCTTGAAAAGAGAACCCTCTACACAGCCTGGCTGCAGCAGAGTGTGAAGAAGTAACACAAAGCAAGATGGATAAAAGAACAGGTTTGTGTGAATCTTAACTGAGGAGGAACGAAGGTCCATCTGGAGAAGGGCTGGAAATCATCTTCAGCCATGGGGTAAAATGGTCATGGCCACCTAGTTTTAACTTTGCAAGGTGTAAAGCAACTCAGAAGTATGTGTTATGAAAAAAGCCTTGCTGAAGCAACTGCTCATATGTTAATTTAAACACAAAAAAAAAGTTGAAGGTCTATAATTAACTGAAGAGTTCAATAAACTGAACGCAGAGGAGGTTTGTTATTAACTCAAAGCTGCAAGAACTGTCTGAAATCTGTATCAAAAAAGGCAAAACAAACCAAAACACACACACACACCCTATCAGACCTACCTATATTATGGGATTATCTTCAAGAAAATCATCTTAAAATCATTCTACCAGTTAGTGATGACTGAACCAAAAAAGAAAAAGAAAAAGCAGAAAACAAGACAAAACAAGTCAAAGAAAACTTTCTTCATGAAAAAAAAGGAAAGAAAAAACGGAAAGTTTGACCTTGCAAAAAAGACTAAAGTAACACTAAAAGATTCTTTAAACATTTACATTTTTATACAAAGGTAACAAGGAAACATGTCTCCTATGCAGGAAAGCAGGCCCCCAAATTTAAGAAGTGCAAGAATCTACTTGTTCAAAGAATCATGAAGGCAAGAACTGTATATGAAGGCAAGAACTGTAGAGCTACCATGAAAACATGTTCTGAAATAGAAATCAAATTATGCAGGATTGAAGGGAAAGCCAAAGAACATTCAGGCTATGTGCAGCTTTCATTCCAGGCTTCCAAAAGGGATGGCACATGTTTGGATGCACGCACACACAGAGGCACAGTTCAAACAGCAAAGGCATTAAATACCATTACCAAGTTAGAGGGAAATCCAGCCTGGAGAATGCCAGTCACAGTATTAGTTTAAGCAGGGAAGGAAGCAACCCATGCTCTTATTATGACTCAGACTCAGAAGAATTTACAGCTCTGTAACAAGTTCCCAGGTATCAGGGTACCTTGGGAAGTGCCCATGTGCAAGCTCCTACCACATGGTAAACACAGAGCTGTCTGAGTTCGCTCAGTTTTCCATAAAGGATCTTTAACCTCATGGTGCATTCTGGCTCAAGAACAGATACAAGTTGGCCATGAATAACTGCAGTCTGGGAATTAGAAGAATGTCCCCAATAATTTGGAAAAGGAAGCTCTGGAATGCCTCTCCAAGTAGGACAGCTGGGAAGAAAAGTCCTCAACTTCTGTCAGGATTAACAAGGCAAATTTACAGCTGGGATTACAGTGCCTGCAAGATTTGCCATCCGTTGATAATAACGGCACAAAATTCCTTCTGGCCTGATTTTCCTGAACAGAATTGCACCTTGTCTTCACCATGTGATGATGAGTAAACACTGAAACACTCCAAAGCTCCCTGGAAACTACTTGCAACAGCAAAGCAGCAAGGTGGATAGGACGCCTTGCTATGCAGCTTTACAAATAAATCTGTTTGGGAGCTCTCTGGAGCAAGGGGCAGTAGAACAAAGGCAGCATCCGCAACGCTGCTCTAAAGCGGTGTGATACTGATTGCACAGGTTAATCATGCCATGTTTCACACACAGCCATGTGTGTTTCCTTGATGCAGCTCAGTGGGGCATCATTTCTTTTACAGAAGTATACTAAAGATGTTTTTAAAATATCTTTTATGGATCACTGCTCTGGGTGTTGAATGCCAGGAAAGAGACCTTACATAGGATTTACATTCGCCGTTTGGTCAGTTTGGGCAGCAAGGGGCTGAAGCCTGGATGCCTTGTAGGGGAGGCTGTCCCTGATACATGAGCAGAAGCAGAGCAGATGATGTGAGACATCCAGAAACAGCAGCCTCATGGCTGAGGCAAGAAAAACAACTGGGATTGTTCCTAGGACCACAGCGAGGCTGCAGCTCTTGGCAGATCTCAGCAGATCAGTGTCACTGCACTAACAGCCTCACCCCACCGCTCATCTCCGGGCAGCCCCAGCCCCGCGGCACTCACACTGCTCCCGCATGCCGGCCTCCTGGCACTTGCGCAGCCGGCACTCCTGGCACTTGCGCCGCATGTACATGTCCATCTCGCACTTGCCGCCGTTCTTGCACACGTACTGCGCGCCCTTGATGACGCTGCGGCGGAAGAAGCCCTTGCAGCCTTCGCAGCTCAGCACGTTGTAGTGGAAGCCCGAGGCCTTGTCCCCACACACGCTGCACACTTCGTTCCCCAGCATCTTCGGGGCTGGGCCCTTCTTCCGCTTCAGGGGGGGATTTTCTACAGAGAGGAACAACCATGAAAGAAAAGCAGACGCGCGCACACGAGGGAAGGGAGGTGTCTGCAGCTGACGGCCACGTTTCTTAGAATGACTGATATGCTCTTTCAAACCCACTACCTTCCAAACACATGGATAAATAAATCCCTCCTGCCATTTCACAGGCTCCCCTCTGAGCTAACATATCATCTGCTGTGACAAATAACTATTGTCATAGCTGAAACAGTTTCATTTTAAACATTTAAGCACATATATAGTTTCAGATTTTTTTCAGGCTAATAGGCTGAAAGAGCCAAAACATGTCCAAGTCAGATGTTCTGCACTTTCCATCAGTGGGAGTGACAGTCAGCAACATGAGAAAAGGCTGTAAAAAAGTTAAGCTGAAAGCCCAGACTGCCCAGAAAACTCAATTTCCTTAAAACTCATCTCCAGTGCTCTGTCCTCTGCCACATTCTCAGACACTAGGATGTTTCAATAGCCCAAGCATCAAAGAAACCCAGTGCTGAAAATTGTGATACTACAACCTTCATAATTGCTTGGAATTACAATTCTAACACAGGCAATCCTCATAACTGGAAAACTTTGAGAAACTGTCAAGATAGGACAGAGCAACTTTGTGGGATTAGGGGCAAAAAGCAGGTGAGAAGCATGTGGCAGCAGCTCTTTGCATCTTTGGAACTCTGCACAACGACATCTTCTTCAAAAACTGTGCTCCCCACTCCTCCAGTTCAAAACACTCTCACACTGACAGGTCTATTATTAAATCTTTGTATGCCATTTGAAATGTAAGACCTTTCTACTGTCTTATATTTTAGTTGGTTTTGTGCAGCACATTCTACTTCTTCCTGGTGGATCTTAATCCTGTCATCTGCTGTATGTTTTGAAGACACCTCTGGTCTGCTCTGACATGTCTCATCTTAAGTATTTCAGTGAAATATTGCCTATGTTTTTGTGTATTTCCTCCTTTGAATTTATCAGCCATCTCTATTTTCATTCCATTAGTTCTAGCTATGCTGACATCTGACATGTTCTTCTGTATACTCCATCATGGGTTTTTTTTTTTTTTGTCTGTCTAATGTTATGTTCTGTGGTTCTATGAACAATGGCAGCTGTCCATGAAGAATATAAACAGCATAACCTTGGTCTCTAGCTCATGTTTGGGTATGCCTGGAGAGTCTTTATAATGGAGTTAATTTACAGGGATTGGTTTAGAGGACAAGGCTGCTATATTTCCTGAGTGGCAAGAGGGTTAAAATGACCTGAAATGGTAAACAGTCAGGAAAGTTTAGGTCAGTCTCAGAAATCACCACTAGTATTTTTCGCTGTGTATTGGTTTTCAGAGTCTTAAGTCTTTCAACTCCATTGACTTTAGAGAGGTCTGGAGGTCATTCACCTTGGCCTGCACTTCTCTTTGCAGACCAGACAGCAGGAGAATGCCATCAGAAAGGTTAAGTCTCTGCTATCCACCCCCACCCCCCGTTCCTACTGTATTTCTCTTCATACAATCCACTACCATGAAAAGAAAAAAAAACAATGCCTACAGCTACTTCAAATGACTCTTTTTGCCATTATAGACATACTAACAGGCATGGTAGCTTTGCCGAAGCCCTCAATGATGTTCCCGGATTTTGGAAGGACAGCAGGGTAACTTAATGACTTCTGCCCAGCGCAAAACAGATTTTTTAGCTGTCTGAAAGTTACAAAGAAGTCCAATTACCATTCCCATGACTGTTTCTACGGAAAAACAAGCATACAAAGCATACAAGCAGAAGCATGCAAATTGTTTTCCATCTCTAAACGATAACAATTCAAATTATATAGATTATTATTATTTTCTGTAGTTAGAAAAAGACATAGAAAAAATCTGCGATGCATCAAGCTTGAATGCCAGCTCTATACCTCTGGAGCTCATTAGTGTCTTCCTTCTTCAGCAGGCTCACTATTCAATATTTTTTGACATTTCAGCATTTCTCCCCTTGTGCCTTTTATAAGGCATCTGCCGCTTTTCTTTAATTGTCCTCAAATCTTCTCTGAGACCTTTTATTGGGAGTTATTCTGAACTGTTACCTCTTCACCTTTAAACCACTTTCTCCATTTCTACTGCATTAATGGGTCCTGGTTCAACATTCACATCATCCGTTTTCCTAAAGCAAGGACTGGCCTAACTGTTTAACAACCAACTAAATGTATTTGTAATACCTTCATTAAGTTGTGGCAGACTGCCCCTGAAGTGTGATTCTAGTGCTTGTCCTTTTATGCCTGCGTGCCTATAGTGTAGTAGGACTCCCGCTGCAATTCTGCTAAATATCAGTTCTGTTTGCACCTGAGAGAGAATCCTTTTTGTGTGGGTTTTGTACAAATTTTCCAATACCTGCGTGCTCAGGGGGGTTGTCTGAGGCAGGGAAGAGGGAGAGCCCTTCCTCCTCCATCTCCAACACACTTGCCACTCGCTTCCCATGATCCTGTGTGGTGAGCTGAGTGGGACCCATGGAGGCCGCACGGGAAGGTCCCTACGACCTCATGGCTGCAGCTCTGCTACCAGCCAGCAAGAGGCTGTGGGGCCTTCAGCTTCTGTCTGCTCCTGGAAGTCGGAAAGGAAACACCTGTGGAGAAAGGCACGCACATGTGAGGCAAGGCTTCAATTACCAAGGCTATTAACTCCCCAGAGTCTATTACATGCCACACTACAAGCATCAGGATTTTGTTTCCTTATTTATCAAGGGGGACAATTAACTTTGTCAAAGTTTACTGACTCGAAACAAAATATTTTAATAAATTATACCAGAAGATTAGCACACCCAGATATAAAACTGTCTGTTGCCAGAATAGTTATCAGAGCAGGACAAGTTTTCATTACTGCTTACCAGTCCCCACTACAGAACTTCAGCCCTAGCTTCTCCGAGTGCACAAGAGGGAAATTCCAGACTTCACAGCTGGCAGCCTTTGTCGAAGCTTCCCATAACAAATTGCTCATTGCTGTCAGTCGTGATAGGTCTTGTGGCATGTACTGCAGAGCCCACAGACTATCCTCAAGGACAACTTTGACACAATGAAAACATGACAGTCCCCCATTACTGGCAGCTGCCAAAGCTGTGACAAAGAGCAGTGATGCATCAGAGACGAGGATGACAAATCCTCCTTTGATGCACATCTAGGAATTAAGGCCAACATCATACTTACAGACAATGACTATTATGCCACCTTCAGAAAACAGATTCATCACCATGTGATGAAGGATTTGAGGATCCCCTTTTCTGGAACCAGAAACTCACACTAAAATGCATCTCTATTATGCAGCACTAACTCCACTGCAGAGCCTGAAAGTGAATCCAATCACCTTCCCGCAAAAGGTCCTACCTGCACAAGAGAAATGCTCTACTGGATGGACTATAGTTAAACTGATATGAACTGCTACTGTAAACACACCTAATCTGATTGGACATGTATTTAAATCAGTTGATCTTAATTCAGTGATTTACCAATGCAAACTAAAAGGATTAACTGATTTACAGAGCATCTACATTAAAGGGCCTGCACCAGTTTAACTTGGCCCAATGTGCTCAGGACTGGAAGCCTGTCACTCTGCAAGAGACCAGGGACAAAAGGCCATGCAGCAGCCCTGCTATCACAGCACCAGCACCCAGGGGCAGCACTGCACACCACAGCACTGCCTGGGAACAGGCAGAGGATCCTGGCCTCGAGTCCCCCATAGGTACTTGGGCTAGACAGAGCCGTCTTTCTGAAACCGCCAAAGGCAGAGAAAAAAGCATCAGGGACTTCTGCAAACCACCCCCTCACAGTGCTGCATGAGGGACAGGCACCAAGTACAAATACAGTCACACTGTCCAGCCCGCTGAGTTCCTGCCATATCCCATTATACTGTGGAGATAATAGAAGCAGGCGTTAAAATCACAGGACATACTAACTCACATGACCTTGTAAACACGGCCTGACTGGAACATGGGCAGTGTCAGGAATCCAGAGCTCCCTTCCCTTGGGTGTACAGAGCCACTGAATCACTGAACGACAGGCTGCCGGGGATAAATGCAATGGCAACAAACATGGAAATTCAAACTGGTGGCAAGGAAGACATCCTAATGTGGGAGATTGCAACCAAACACATCTGAACTGCAACAAATTCAGAGAGATCCCAGTTCTCAACTGACTTAAAAAAACAACTTCATGGTAAACCCTGCAGCAGCTGAAGACCTCAAAGAGGTACAGAACAGCTGGAGACAGGAACTTGAATGAAACGAACGTGCTGTTTTTTCCTTAATCCCATGTGGGCTCCTCACGGATGCAGGTGTCAGATGACTTGGGGCATGTCTGAGCACGAAACACAACGCTACATGCACTGACTGAGCGCATCTCCACATTCCTCTAACCATGCTAAACATTCACCCAGCCATTAATTAGTGTGAGGGAGGAAGCACTAGCAGCAGTTTTGCAGTGCCTTTTCAAAGCCCAAGTCTCATTCTCCAGCTAAGGGGCTGAATGATGGTGCTCAGGCGCTGCTGCCTCCCGCGCAGTCAGGGACCCAGTCCCACGTCAGCCCAGCCATGCACTGCGATGTGTTCTGGAAAGTAAAGAGGAGGAGGGTATAGGCTGGTGGGATTTCAAAACTGTCATCCACACAACCACAACTGACACTGCAAGAGTGAAACTTGCTGTCAGAAGGACATCTGGCGCCTAGAGGGGAGTTTCTAAGGAAGAGACTAGAGACTTCCTGGCTACATCTGACTAGTCTGCAGTTACCAACAGAAAGGGCAGTATAAATACACACACACACACCCAGGACATGGCAAGGGGTTAGGCATATCAGCCACCATCCTCGTGCTGTGCAACAAACCCACATGTTCCTGCTTCATGTACCAGCCTCTATCCTTCCCAAAACAGAAGGGCCAGGTCAGAGCAGTGAGGGCCCTTCCTAAGGCCCAGCACTTCCTTGTTCTGCAGCTCCAGTAACTGTTTCAGGTTGGGTACAACTGACCCAGCTGCAAAGAAAAGCAGCCTAGTGCTAAGTAAGAAAACTAAACAAGCATTTACCCCAGAAGCACACAGAGGACAAGATGCATGATTAGACCAGGAGTCAGTTTGCAGGGCAATTTAGCAGAGACGTTTTCAACTGGACAAAAATCTTGGGTTTTGTATCAACAGAGTTTTACCAGTTGTGTTTGCACCACCTTGTCAACTGAAGATGGAGAAGGATGATGCAAGCTGCACCTGCAAGAAGGAACACTGTCTTCTTGATATAATCTGCCCTGCTGCCTCCACAGCCTGTCTCAGCTCTGAGAATTTTAGAAACCAGAGCTGGCCGAATGACAAAAGATGGGGCAATCTCTTGTCTCAAATGCAGCATCTAGAACAGAGGAACCTAGTGAGCAGATAGACTGTAATGAGGAAGAAAATATAGATGAAAGGCTGAGGGAAGCAAATCTCAGTCTCTGCCACTCACAGCTCAAAAGAGACACTGAGCACTTCTGAAAATTGTTGCCATCAGCTTCTCCCCACTCCAACCCTTCCCTCTCTTCCTTTTCTGAAACAGCAAACAACCCAGGGACTAATGGTCTCCAGATCAGGAAAAAAAAAAAAAACACCACAAGAGAGACTAAAGGTAGCAATGCAACTCTTGCAACTCCTGTTAATGTCCAGAAACCTTCACTATCTCCTCCAGCAGTGACCTTGTCTCATCCTGTATTCTCAGTTCAGAGGCCTATTCCACATCCAGATGAAACACTTTCCAGCCTGACTGCATCAGAAGAAACCTGCATGTGTGCACAAGTGTGAACACGACTGTGCTCATGTGTCAACATCTGTGTCAAAGGCTTTTGCATGTGGGCTTAAAACCTGACGTCCATGAACAAATGCATCTGACGGGAAGGACTGTCTCTCAGAGACACTTAAAGCAGAGAAATAATTTCACATTTTGACAATTAAATATGTCCTGACACGCAGTGCACACCCCAATATCCAATCTGAACCTGCCTCTGAAAGCTGGGGTCAGAGCAGTGCACCCCTCCGCTAAAATCTAAGTGCACACTGTGCATACAAGTAATGCTGCTTCAGGTAACAAAAGGCTGGCTGCAGATCTAAACGGCTGAGAAGACATGGGCTGAAGGACTGACATTTCATAGGACCCTAGCAAAGAATAAAGTACCCTCAGGACACACCACGGCTCCAATTCTTTCTGAAGGACTGACTGCCATTTCGTGACTGAGTGCTCTTCCCTATACCTTTCGTGACACAGCAGTGAGAATATTTTCACAAACTTCCACAAAGAACTTGGTTCTAGGTCAGTATCATCTCAGAGGAGCAATAGGTTATTCCCAGCTAATGCTGGTTCATTCCTTCTTCTTGCTCCCTGTATCATTACATTTCTCAGGAAATGCTGAAGATACTGGTGTTAGAGGGTTCACTCATGTGAATCATTTCTCAGGAAATGCTGAAGATACTGATGTTAGAGGGTAAAAGTATGTGAACGATGAGTTTCAATGACACTGAGGTCAGAAAGGGCTCTTTTCTTTCAAGGCAGAAAAATAAGCCTAGGTAAACATGTCATTTAGAAAAATAATCAACTCCAGACTCTCCATGAGGGGGACAAAACATGAAAAAACAAGGCAGGCAGGACAGTACATAAGGCTGACATGAACACTAATTCTGAACTACATATTTACTAAGAAGGGAAAGATCTGCTCCACAGCTCTCAAGGAACAAAGACTAACTCTGTGCCCCAGCCATAAATCCCTCTGCACGCAGAAGTGCACAGGCCCTGTTTGGAATCACATAATCCATTTTGATCCCTCAGGAGCATAAAGACATCCACAAAGTGGAAGCAGTTTACAAGCTACGATCAGCCTCAAGCTGACAAAAAAAAATGTTGCAGCCTCCCGTCTGCTTTCATTCTCTGCTATCAAACTGAGCCTCACGGAACGACTACAGCCCTTGCCTACGGGTCGCCAGCTCCACCAACTGCGCAGAACAGCCTTGCCAGTCACTTCTGGCTCTGCAGCCTGCTTCTTGGGGACGGGCAGCCCATTCTGGTCTCTTGCCTACATGTTCAGGTTCTTACTCCTACCTCTCTACCTAGCTGCGTTGGAGCTCCCCTCCTCTACCCCAGCCCTTATCCCTACTGTTGGCCACCCCTCTTGGTGCTCGTGACTTTGCAGAGTTCTGGCCCAGCCAGAACTGGGACATCTTCCCTCGGGCCGGCTGTGCCTCCACCCTTGCCTTCAGACTGGTCTCAGCATACAGTATGACATCTCCTACCCTGCTCGGGCACGGATGCTGTGGCAGCAGTCAGAAAACCACAGCAAAAGTGACTAACAACTGGGCAGACTAAAATCACAAAGTGTGTATGATTTGGTTGAAAGAAGACATGGAATAGAAGCAGGAAGGTATGAAAATGGTGAGCAAAGAGGAGGAAGGCGCTATTCTGACAGACAGCGCAATTAAGAAAGAAGCTGAGCAGGAGAAAACAGGCCATCCCAGAAAGAAAAACACCCTAATGGTAACCTCTGGGGGACTGAGGAGCAGTCTCTGTAATTTCCCTTCCAAAGCAAGACTTACACTACATCAAAAGCACAAAGAAGCCTGCAGAAATTGATGAACCT